TCCTGCCCGGGCTGATTAGCCCAGCTGGCCTGTCCACTATTCCTGTTTTATTGCTTCCTTTCTCATTAAGGAAGGTGTTGGGTTTGGATAACCATAAACAACATGTCTGCTGCTACAAGGCTACCATCTCCTGCACAGCCAGTGGCTGAAGCCAAGCTCTCAGGAGTCTTTTTAAAAGACTTAGATCACAGTTTTGGAAGCAGGATATCAAGAAATACAGGAAAAGGAAGCCCAGGTTTGAAAATGTGCCACATGAATGGTTATTTTCTTATTTTCACTGTTCTTTTTTTCTTTCTTTTTCTTTTTTTAATTCAAAGTGGTAGGGAAAATAAAACCTAAAAAAAAAAAATCAGGGCCATTTTCCCTAACCTCTCTCTTCTTTCTCACCCCTCCTTCCTCAGCGTATCCACGTGAAACTATCCTGACAGACCTTGACCCTGAAATGTGAGGGGAGGGAAGCTGGAAGGATTTCTCTTTGTACCACTCTGCCTCTAGACGCTCAGGGATTCTGAGCAGCCGCTGGCCTAAGCTGTGGGTGCCTCAAGGCTCCCTTAACCAAATGAATGCCAGGGCTGAAGTCTACTTGGGAAGCTGAAAGGGAGCCCACAACTGAGCTCCCCTCTACCCTCACTTAAGTAATCTCAGCATTCGTACTTCCCTCCCCAATGTATCCCTTAAAAATATTCTTCACTGGCACATCGTTTCTCACCAGGAACTGTACCCTTTTTCTTTCCAAAGTCCTCCAGTTCTCCCTCTTTCAGCACAGGGAGAATCATATTTACTCAGAAAACCACAGTGTTGAACTATAGCCCTCAGTTTCTTAGAGTTTTGCTTTCTAAGGGAATTTTGCAGCTGGTTGCATCTGCTTCTCCTGATTTTTTTTTTTTTTTCCTCTTGTGTCCACGCCGATTTCCTCCCTAGGCCCAGCCTGTACCCAGACTTGGCATCCATACCCCCACCACACATCACCATGATGGTCTTCTCTTCTCACGGAAGACTCACAGTTCCTCAAGCCTCCCACCATGTCCCAAACAGTAAACGTTTAGAAAATATTTGTCCATTTGTACTGACTACTCCTAGAACCTTTAACATTAATACTTTATAGGAATATTTCCCCCACAAAACATTTCATATATCTGGTTTAGTTTTTGTATCAAAGTTCTACCTCATGGTGTGTTTTTTGTTCATGTGGCTTGACAGGAGTTACCCCAGTGCTGAGAGTGGATAAATGAATGCTAATTATGTTTATGTGAATTAGCCATGTGCATTTTTAAATTCTAAACTTGCCTTTTCCGCTGCTTAGCATACATCTGGGCTATTACCTATCACCAGTGGTATGTCTGAAGGAAAAGTGACCAACTCTAATGTTAGATTCATTCAAACACAATCTCATATGTCTGGAACCAGGAGAGTGGTCTAGCTAACATTTTGGTTTTACACTTCTAGTGCTTACTGTATGCCAGACACCATTTCAAGTGCTTTACAAATATAAAGTAATTAAAATATAAAATTCTCTGAGGTGGATATTCTTATTATTCTAATTTTACAGCTGAAGAAATTGAAACACAGAGAGGTTACACACTCAAGGTCACACAGTGAGTAAACGATAGAACCAGGATTCAGATGCAGGCGATCTGTCTCCAGAGTCCATGCTCTAACTGCTACTCAATGCTACCTCACCAATAACAACCATTTTGGATTGTTTCATTCTGAATCTTCTGCTGGTCAGAGAGAATTCAGATTAACTTTTATTTATGCAGCATCTATGTCCTTTAAGGGTCCCGGGTACATAGCATTTTTATAAATCCAACCATTTTCTGGAATCAAGTCCTCATTAAAAGGAGCTAGACTTTGAACTCCCTTTGAAATATGATCATCTCATACAAACTGCCTCTCTGAGTTGGGCATGTCACCCTCCAAATAAGTACTTATAGAAAATGTTCTCAAGGGATAGGTGGTGGAAACACATGAAGGTCACTTATCTTCAGTATCAGAACATTATAAGGAGCTTGATACTTCATAAAATCCTTCTGGTATCCAAGTCACATTGGACCGTAATTTGCCTTTACCACTTCTGAGGTTACTGGATTCCATATATAAATTACCTGCTAAGCAAAGCAGGATTCCCCTTTTTATCTCTGAAGTAAAGGAGGAGACCTCAGGCCTGATAGCCTGAGATTTAGTGAATAAACACTTATTACTCTTATCTAGATCTTTCATGTTGTTATAGGTTTTCATAATATGCCTTTATTTTTCCTGATATCTAAGGTTGTTTTTGCAATCAGCATATTGCTTCCAATTCTTTGGCCAGTTCATTTGCCCTTTCTTAGGTCACGTAACTTCCTTAAAGAGTGGCAGTTTACTGTAAGCTTATGCAAAGGCAGGTTTAGAATTGCATTGACTTCTTTGTGTGTCTAGAGCACCACAATCTCCAGTTAAGTACCCACTCTGTGCCAGGCACTCTGTTAAGAAATGAATACAAAAGTAAATAAAGATTTCTTACTTGGATCATAAATGGTAGCTCGGAATCCTACCACTGAACTGTAAGAATATTTGGCATCAGTTCCTCTGAATTCATGCATCGCATTAGAGAAACTCACATGAATGTTCATCTGCTAGGTCTGTGCCTCTTCCCACTAGCTCTCAGGATCTGCCTGTGATTGGCCTGATGTTATTTATCCTTTGAAGAAGCAAATGGGATCCTTAACACAATCCTGTCAGGCATTTTTCCATCTTATGGATGAGGAGAATGAAGCTCAAAGTGCTCATAGAAATAACAGAACTTTGGTTTGCATACCACAGTTTTCATGATCCTTTCTCACATACGAGTACACTTACTCATACACACGGAAAAGATTAATCTTCTTCATGTCCTAATTGAAGAGGACTGATGATTAACAGCAGAAACAGTAGCCAACACCATGGACATCTCAATTGGTTCAGCCTACAAAATTCTGACTGAAAAAACTAAAGATAAGCAAACTTTCCACTCAATGGGTGCCAAAACTGTTGTGCCCAGATCAGCTGCAGATGAGCAGAGCTTTCAGTGGAAGTTTTAAACAAGTGAGATCAAGATCTTGAAGCACTTCTTTAAAGAATTATAACAGGAGATGAAACATGGCTTTACCAGTATGATCTGGAAGACAAAGCACAATCAAAGCCATGGCTACCAAGAGGTGGAAGTGGTCCAGTCAAAGCAAAAGTGGATGGTCAAGAGCAAAGGTCATGGCAAGTTTTTTGAAATGCTCAAGGCACTGTGCTTGTTGTCTTTCTGGAGGGCCAAAGAACGATAACATCTGCTTATTATAAGAGTGTTTTGAGCAAGTTAGCCAAAGTTTCACCAGAAAAACGCCCAGAAAGCTTCATCAGAGTCCTTCTCCATCATGACAATGTCCCTGCTCATTCTTCTCATCAAACAAGGACAATTTTACAAGAGTTTTGATAGGAAATCATTAGGCATCCACCTTATAACATGAAATTTATTGTTCCAACTTCTGCATGATATTTTATAATATGTATCCACCATTTTTTTTATTTTTCCATTCCTCCAGCAATGGACACCTGCCACAAGCAATGACATACTCATACTTGTCTCCTTTGAGACCTGAGGAAGAATTTCTTTGGTATTTATGTTTAGGAGAAAAAATGGTGGGCCATAAGACCCAAATACGCTATTTTCTTTATCCAGCCCCTCTCGTGCATAAGTGGCATTCTCCCAGTTCCACCTTTTACTCTAGTCATCACTGCAGCAACCAGAGCTAGGCCGGTGTGCAGGCTGCAGCCAGCGTCGTGCTAGTGTAGTACGGTAGTACTCACCTCTCACGTCCTATTCTGGGACTTCTTTGCGGCAGAGACATGAAATACTCAGGGGACGTACTCAGCTCTCAGGCCTGCACACATAAAAGGGGTTGGGGAGAGGGTAGAAAGCAGAAGGGGTTAGCAGTCAAAAGGAGATTCTTGTCCTTCTGAGGACAGGAGCCAAGGGATAAATGCTTCTGATTGTATCCTCCTGGAAATAATTCTGAGACAGTTTATAAGGTTCTCACCAAGATCCCTGTGAGACTGAGTACATGTTGCCAGCAGTGGTTGTCAATTTGAAAATGCATACTTGTATTGGTTTTCCCTTCTTTCCTGTTTTAATCCCCTAGTTCCTTGTTCCTGCTCCTTGTTTTTATTTCTCAAATGAATTACCTGTAGACAAGTCTTAGACTCAGGCTGTGCTTTCATGGGCTACCCAGCATGCACCACTACCCATAAGTACGGGCAGATTGCATTCCAGAGTATCTGCACCCTGATCTGGATAGTTTGGCCAGTCTCCAACTTGTGGATCAGAGGGGCTGGGCAGTTTCAAAACTTCAGAGAGCCACCTTTTGACAAGAGGCTTGCCTCTGCTTGAAAGGTATGCAGCTGCTCCCTGTGCAGGGTCTATCACCTGTGGGTCAGTGACTTATTTTTTTTTTTTTTTACATTTATTGCAGTTATTTTCAAACTATGGTTGCAAGTAGATGTCCTGATAATTATAAAATACCTCTTCCAAACATTGCTCTCTACCCTCTGATGACTCATGACTTCTGACGCATGGACAGTGCACATATCATAGATGTGCCATAACAGAGTACTGAAAAAATTGTCTCAATACTTGTTGATATGGAAACATGACACAATTTATATTTTCCAGTGAAGGGTGTTGCAGTCAGCTTATGTCTTAGGATATGCACTTGTTCTGTCGCATTGTCACTTGGGTTTACTCAGAAAAAAATGATAATTTCTCTAAGTGCATATGTGCCATGATAAAGCTTTTGTGTGTGTGTGTGTGTGTGTGTGTGTGTGTGTGTATGCCAACTCACTGTACTGGGTACATCATCATGGAAAAAGCACATATTATGACCACCCAGGAGCAGAGAATCAGAGAAATTTCCTTAAGGGAGTGTGTGTTGCTTCTCACTTGGAAATAGCTTTTAAAATCTCATTATCCCCTTCTACTTTTGTTGTGTGAACAGGTGGTTAATACCTACACCCCAGGAAAGAAGATTTGGCTTGAAGGTGTGGTGACCACCTCAACTGGAGGCACAAACAATCTATCAGATTCCTATGCTGCAGGATTCCTGTGAGTAACACTTGCAGTTTCATCCCCAGGGACTTTCAGAAAAGAACAGTAAAACTGTGACACCGCTCATTCTTTTGCCCATTGCAGGGGTGAGGCATTCATTTGTGAATGTCCATAGTCATTCAATGAGCAGTGATTAGTGCCTTCTCTAGATACTAAAATGTCTGGCACAAGCATCATAGAGCAAAGATAACAGTAGTAGTAATAACAGCAATGATAGTAGTAATAAGAGCTTTATTTAACGTCTGCAGTTCAAAACATGGTGAAAACAACATACATTTTCTCATCTAATTTTTGCCATAGTCTTGGAAGGATAGGTAACTATAAGGCATGGTGTTTAACCTCCAGAAACATGTGATTGGAGGAACTGGGATAGGAGATAACTACATTGTAAAGCTGTGGGAGAAAAGTGCCTTAGTAATAACAATACCTTTATATAGTGCCAAGCACTTCTGAAGTGCTTTATATGTATTTAACAAGTTAACAACCAGTGAAGTCAATGGTATTGTTTTTATAACAACCCAGTGAAATAGATGCTGTTATTATCCCCATTTTATAGGAGAGGAAACTGAAAGACAGAGTTGAAGTCACTTGCCCAAGAGCACTTATTTAGTTAGTAGTAGAGCTCAAATTCAAACCCAGGCAGTGTTCTCCAGAGCTCAGCCTCTTTACCACTGCAGTGGACCACCTCTTCTTCTATACATGGTCTATCTACAAAAGCAAAGTGATAGACATACAAAGGAATACAGAATTTCTCTGATTGGGAGCATCAGGAAGGGCCTTGTGGAGGAGGTGTCATTTGAGTGGAACATAGAAGGATTAGTCTGATATCTACAGGAGGAAAGTGGTAGTGATGGCAGAGGGGAGCATTCTCGGCCAAGGAAACATTATGGGCATAAGCATAGAGGACGGGAAATGATTAATGTTACTACAGCCTCACTATCTGCAGGGATGTAATGAGGGCTGAGGCGAGGGAGGGGATCTACCACCAACTCATAGAAGGTCTTGAAAACCAGGTAAAGGAAATGAGGCCTTGTTCTATACTCATGGCAAGCCATTAAAGATTTTGGAGGAGGAGAGAGATACAATCTGACATATGTTTTAAAACTCTGGCTTTGGCAATAGTGTGCACAATAGTTTGAAAGAGATGGGAAAATGAATTTGAAGGCTACTGCAGTCATCTTAAGCCAGAAGCATAAGGGCCTCAGACTGGCTTGCCAGTATCATATGGCAGGGACTAACCCCTCAGGACCATGGACTAACCAAGTGACTTGTTCCTGGTCTGGTATAGTGCTATTGCCCTGGTTTTTTGGCTGAGCAATGTCCTCCTAAGAACTGCAGTTTTGCCCTCAGCTACTTTGTTTTGCTACTAAAAGCTGTTCTTAATTATACAGATGCAGTTCCCCTTCACTGAGGCAGCTTCTTTAATATGTTTGTGAAGGACAAATCAGGCCAGTCAAGTAGATTGCCTTTACAGATGGAATCCTGGCAAATGCAGATGAAGATAATGAGTCAGTGTAATTCGTGGCAATACCTTGTGTCCTCCATCTCTGTATCCTCATCATCTAGCATTGTATAGCACAGAGTAGTTGTCCAACAAGCATGGTTCCAATGAATAAAATGGAGTGAGGTGGTATTTGATACAATGTTGGTGTGCATCTTCTCTCAAAAATACTGTCCCTACTGATTTAATATGAGCCCTGTAGCAAGGGTAAGAAGCCAGATTTGCAGTTACTACTTGCAGGGGACCCCTTGGAAACAGCAGAGGAATGGTTTTTGCTCAGCCATCATCAAAGGACTCTGCTGCAGGGCCCAGCAAGCAGCCCAGTTGTACCGAGTATTTTTATGAGCATTCTTCCCTTTAGGAAATGACATGAAATGAGAAATGTCATAACCTTCATGGAGGAAGCTGGAGCAGAGACCTGTCTTTTCATGAACATCACCCAAATATTCATAGATCCCTGCACTCACTTTGCAAAACACAGACAAACGTAGTTGTTTAGATTCGGGTTGTAATTTAGATGCCCAATGCTTGGTTGACACTGATCAGATGGAACTAGTTCATTCTGCTCCTGGTCTTCTCTGTTACCTTTTTGTCACACATTTGGTCTCAACTCCACTAGCAGCACCCAGCAATGTACCCTTTGAGTCCAGTTCTCCAAGGGGCATAAATTGCTTCTGGGGGGCTGGGGGATGGGGGGAAGTAAAGCATTCTAGGAAGCTCTAGAAGGTAGCAAGAAATTGAAAAAAATGCATTTTCTCCAGGATTTGATCGATATATCGCATAACCATGAGCTCACTAAGACACATACACATGCATAAGGAAGCTCTAGAAGGTAGCAAGAAATTGAAAAAAATGCATTTTCTCCAGGATTTGATCGATGTATCGCATAACCATGAGCTCACTAAGACACATACACATGCATAGACATATCAGAATTCTCTGCTACCAAGTATTCACGGGTAGTGTTTCCCAGTCAGGACTTTGGGATTCTTTGGAGCACTACAAATACACCCCTGGCACACTGCTGTGTCTCCAGCACCTAGAAGTGTCTGGCACACAGTAGATATCCAAGAAACTTTCGTAGAATGGAAAATAAGGGCCAGAGTAGCATCCTTGGTGCGACACAGTCATGTTACCAACTTTCTCTACCTGAGCATAGAAGGGAGTCTTGGAAGACCATTTATTTCCCACATCCAGAGGGCTCGTTATTATAGGAGAAAGATGAAGATAACTTCAGTACTAAACATCCTGCTCTGAAAGCCATGGGGAAGCAGCAGCTCTGGCCGTTGTCATTTTTGAATGTTCTAGATCCTGGATATATTAGGATGTGAGTTTGGACAGAAGGATGCACATCCTTCCCTCTTATTTTAGAGTTTCTTCGAAAAGTTCTCATATACTAACAAAAAAATCAGGCTTACTAATTAACATGTATTTGATGACTGTACATTCTATGCAGGTCACTATGCTATGCTCTATAGAGGTCACAAGTAGGAACTGTGTATACATAGGTATTTATATACCCAGTGCTTTACCAATGACTTACATAGCCACACAAGCATTTTTGTACATATCCTCAATGTGGAGAATAACGGCTGCCATTTATGGTTGATTAATTAATGTTATTGAATAAATAATGAATGAGTGAACAAATAGGATAAGATACAATCCTGTATAGATATCCAAATGTTGTTCAATGTAGGTGCTCACGTAGATGTGATTACGCTTTTATGCATTGTTTTCTTTCTTCATTCACTCAATAGCATAAGGATAGAAAGGTGAATAAGACATATTCATTTTTTATAGATAAATACTTGTTAGATATAGACCCTATTGTATTTGTGCTGTTTCAGTGTGGGAAGACCACTGATTTAGAAGACATTAGCCCAGAATTCATGTTATGGCTCTACCACAGGACATATCTTGATGAGTTATCTAATACTGTGCCTCAGTGGCCAAAGGAAAAGCTAAACCTGTTATCCTGACTTCACAGGTTTTCCAAATTAATAAAAAAATAAAGGCATGTAGCTTGGCCATGTAATGTTCCAAAAGCAATTTCAATTCCTTGGTTCACGATGTCGCAATTTGAGCAAGAACAAAAAGTTCTACTATATTATAGTCATATTTTTATTTTTATTTAAAACTTTTGTTTTTATGTTTTGCTTTCCTTTTGTTTTGCTTTGTTTTGGTTACTTTGTCAGTACATATTTGTCAGTTTTTAGGGAAATAAAGTATAATTGTAAATGTGAAAAAGATTTGAAAATATACATGATAATATTTATTCATAATTTAAAAATTAGCAATGCTCTTTATTCCAGCAAGGAAAAAAGCTTAATTCTTCTACAAATCACTATTTTGGAGCTCTATATGTTTTCAGATTTGGTAAATCATAACTCTGCATAATTTTTCCCTAGTTTGCTGAATGGTGAGACTCAAAGTTTCCCAGAATCTAATTTTATCCAGATAAATTTCAACTTAACAAAGAGTATTGAATACATACATGCTGCCAGGCACTGTGACGGGTGTTTTGCTACAAACTCAAACATTGTGTCTATGCTTGATGAGCTCATAACCAATGGGGGGGGGAGTAGAGAAATAAGCAAGTGATTATCATTCAGTGGGCTAGCAAGGGGGTATGAATAAGAGTTCTCGGGAACTATCGAGGCAGACACTGCTGTTGGCTTGGGCAGCAGAGTTTAGAAGGAGATGAAACTTGAGTGGGAGGTTAATAGATGGGAAGCAATTTGCCAGATGAAAATAGGTGGTATAGAGGAGGAGAGGAAGGGTATTTTAAGCAGAAGTGAAAACATGTATAAAAACTCAGGTAAGTATGAGAAAGTATGGTGTGCTGGGGTAGCCAAGAGTAGTTTTATGTGGCTTAGAACCTCTGGGGAATGGGGTTTAGGGTGAGAGAAGAAGGGAGATGACAGATAAAGCTGGACACACATATGCTTGGGATAGATTGTGAAATGCTTGTTTCTTATGCAGAGAAGACTGAAGCTCTGAGTCGCATTTATTACACATATATTATTACAGTTAGAAGTTTCCCTATGTCTAGAAGTAGGAAGAGAGAAAAACAAACAAATACATGAAAAGGTGATTGAATTGAATGTGTAAATAGTGAAGGCAGAATCACCAGTGGGTGTTGTAAGAACCAAGAGGACAGTATTTTTGAGGGATGACATACCCAGGAAAGTGGGTGTTTGGCATAGTGGTGTACACGATAAGTGTATGAGCAATGCAGGTCCTCCACTGCAACACATGTGCGAACTTCTGAATAGTTAATTATAGTGCCAAAGAAAATTATTATTGCATTGACTGCTGATGGTAATATATGAGGGGCACAAATGACTGGAATACTCTTGCATAGGTCATAGGAATGTGTGGGTTAGAATCCCATAAGAAGTACATGTACAGTGGCAGAGTGCAAGCAGGGGAGTTTGAGTGGTGGGATGTATAGTATAGTGTGTGTGCTTGTATGATTGTATGTTCTGTGGCCAGGAGGGGAAGTGGGGAGGACATTAGACTTAAAACTGGCTAAGGTGTTCATTTGTTAGTATTCCAGGAGTAAAAGGTAAGTCATTAGCAACAAACTATTTTATGACCAGGACAATTCATTTTACTCCCCTTGACCTCTGTTTCTTTCCCTATAAAATGAAGAAGCTGGATTTGATGATCTCTATAATCTCTTACAGCTGTATATTAAGGTCCTAGGTAAATTTAGTGGTGAGTGGTTGGTGTGTATGTTGTAGCCAATCTCTATAGAGCTTGTTATATGCTATTTAAAAGCAATTTATATAATCTCTTACAGCTGTATATTAAGGTCCTAGGTAAATTTAGTGGTGAGTGGTTGGTGTGCATGTTGTAGCCAATCTCTATAGAGCTTGTTATATGCTATTTAAAAGCAATTTATTGATGTAGCTTTTTTCCTCGGCCCTAGATGGTTGAACACTTTAGGAATGCTGGCCAATCAGGGCATTGATGTTGTGATACGGCACTCATTTTTTGACCACGGATACAATCACCTCGTGGACCAGAATTTTAACCCATTACCAGTAAGTATGGGATAAAGATTCCCAATTTCTTTTCCGGATCATTCAGTTCTTTTGATCATGCATTCTTCTACGCTAGGAGAATCTTTTTCCTCTTCTTGTTACCAGTTAATTTCATAAATCAGGCAGAAGCATTCTTATTATTCACTTGACCCACTTCACAGATTTTTGGCTTCACCACACACACCTATCCACAAACATATCTTTATATGCACACACATACACTTGCATATATATGCATATGCACATATACATTTATAAATAATGTATTTATTACTATTATTTTAACAAATCTTGATGCAGTTGAGATTCCCCATCTACTTGTGGCCTGTTTGAACTCTGCTTTAGAGTGAGTTTTTCCAGACTGTTTTCTTTTAATGCTAATAGAAGACATTACTTAATGTCAAATGCAACATGTTGAAAGCAGATGGGGGGATTGTTAGCCAAGATCAGATAGAGTAAGAACCCATCTCCTGGGGAGTGGCTGAAGTGCACTTATGTTTAGATGTTGATTCCTATGTGACAATGAAGAGATTTTCCCAGAACAACTTCGCTAGGAAAGTAAAGATAAGAATAAAGTAGAATGGCAAAAGCAGAGATCTGGGTTTGTCTAGTGACCTTATTGGCCAATCAGAGAAATCCCACTTAGACCAGGAAAGCTATGCTTATCAGAAATGTTACAGGGGTTATCCTTTTTCATAGACATCATGATGAAAGGTTAGACTCCTCTCATCAATTCATAGAATTTCAGAGCTGGGATTCCTCTTCAAAATGACCCAGTTCCACCTCCTTTAACAGAGGGACTGATAGCCCATGGTGGAACAGGGAAGGAGGGATGTATATGCTCTGGCCCAGTGCTCTTCCTACAGAATTACTGCTGCCCTGGGGTCCGCAATAAACAGACCAAACTGGAACCAGTGAGTGTTCTTGCCATTTGCTTCCCTCTGCCTATTTCTGCCCCATACCCTCCACCCCACAATCCCTGAGCCAGGAGGCCCTCAAGCCCAGAAGAGTTTGGCACCCAACAGCACCATTTCCAGTCTCAAAAGAACCCCTCTAGGTTAGAGTACTAATTATTGTATCACTGGGTGCACACGACTCCAAGACTCCAGTGAAATCACAAATATTACAACCAACTGGCACAGTTGCTTTTATTCACAGGACAAGGATACCTCTTCCAAGTATGTGTGTGGAGCTGTGATGGGAAGGGGTGAAGAGGGAGTTTTCAGTTTGGAACCATAGAGGTTTGTTTTGTTTAGTTTAGCTCATATCCTTGTGGAAATAAAACAAAATTATCAGAAGAGTATCTGTGAAATGTAAGCATTAAACAAATATAATGTCACACAGAAATAAATATTTATTGAACATCAGGCACTGGGGAAGAGACTAGTAATAGATAAACAAATATATAAATAATAGAGTACTGTGAGAGCTTCTTTAGGTGCATGTTCAGGAAAGGCTTCTCTGAGAAGATGACATGTAAGCCAAGAGCCTAATGACAGCAAGGAGCCAGCTATGCAGATTTCACAGAAGAGCTTTCCAGGCAGGGAAAGAGGCTCCAAGGCAGAAACAAACTTGGCATGTTTGAGGAAACACAAGAACACCAGAGTGACTGGGACATGGCAGTGAAGGGGGAGACTGGTTGGAAATGAAGTAGGCATGGGTCAGTTTTATTATAAGTACTATGGAAAGCCATTGGAGGCCTTTAATCAGGGAAGTAAATGATGTAACTAACATTTTATAAAGATCACCCAGGCACAATGAATGCATCAAATGTTAGTTATTTTTTTTAATAATGTAGATAATACTTAACAACATACAGGTTGTTTCCATAGATGGTGCATCCCCAATGCCTGAACAGTGTCTTCCCTCGCCTCTGTCTTTCCTTTTTCCTTCTTTCCTTCATTCCTTCCTTCACTTATTAAAATTTCATTCACTCTTCTTGATTATGCACTATGTGCTGATTGCTATTCCTGCCAACGTACCACTGTGGTGAACTGAAAAGACAAGGTCCCTGAACTCTTGGAGCTTATACTGTGGGGAAAGGTACTGAGAAATGGAAAATAAACACACAAATGAACAAGATAATTGCAATTTGTCATAATTGCTCTGAAGAAAGCCTGGTGAGATAAATATGTCTATTTATACTTATTTTTCTGGAGAGAAACTAAGGTTCTATGAAGTTGTTAAGTAACTTATTCAAGGAAAGACAAGTAGTAAGAGCTGGAACCTTCAGAGTTTTCCAGTTCGAAATCCATTTTTCTTTTCAGTGTGCCACATGTTTCTTGCAGTGCTCTCCTTGCAGTGTGCTCTGAAGCCAATTTTGCCTTACAGTTGAGTCTGAATATGAAAACAGGCATGTTGGGGAACTGAAAATAAGAAAGCAGGCTAGAACAAGATGGTCTTTGCATAACTAGACAGGCTTAATTCCAGAGTTGGACAGACCTGGATTCCATGTTGACTCTCTCTGTACCTTTGCATGGCCGTGCATGAGTTAAAGGCACAAGTCCTCATGGCTTTGTTCTCCCTGAATGAGAGTTTTTGCTAGTGACTTTCTTTAAAAGCATGGCACAAAAGACCTCGATTGATACGTGGTGGAAGCAGAGCTCATAGCAGAGAGTTTTGCCAGTGACTTTCTTTAAAAGTATGGCACAAAAGACCTTGGTTGATACGTGGTGGAAGCAGAGCTCATAGATGTTCATAGGAAGCTAAAACAAATTCCACTGATTTAGCACAAAGGTTCAAATGAGCTAGGCAGCTGTATTTCTGGAAACACCAAGCTCTAATAAAGAAACCGTATGTAAAAGCACTTAAAAAGGTAGCAGGCTTTCCTTTTATCTTTCTTTGCACTAATAAATTCTGCACCCTATAAGTAGAGAACTTGGCAGCTGGAAGAATGTGTCCTGAGTCTCCCCTGGAAAGAGTTTACAAGACTAGACCAGGGTACCAATCTGACAGACACTGCCGCAGGCCCCTGGAATGTGTAATGGGGACAGACCTGGGAATCGTATTGGTTGCTACTTGAGAGCGTTGTGCAATTGATAATCAAACACTGCCAATAAAAACTTGTGGATTCTACATTGTGATTAAATCTTCAAGAGAGTTTGTTAAGAGTTTGGGGGATTAGTGAGTTGTGTTTTGGTTGCATCCCAGAAAAATCAGTATTTTCTGTTCCAGTTCCTTCAAATCCAGTACATTTCAGGAAGAAATTTTATTAGAAAATACTGTCTTGTTTGTTTTTGTTAGTGTTCTTGGATAAATTCAGAAAAAATGAGCATATTGGCCTTATGGCTGCTCAACCCATATCCCATATTCCCCCTTCACCTGCCCAGACAACTTTGATCTCAGTTTGAGGCATTCCAGCCCAGCTCTGGCAGGGCTATTCCAGTGGTGCCAATCTAAGATTGAGAGAATACGAGGATGGCCCTTTAAAATAGAAACAACCTCAGAAAAGATTATTTTCAATTACATCTCTTGTTCTTCATGGTTGTTCCTCTAGAAAAGTGCCAACCCTCCTCCTGATGTGAGATTTTTTCTTCTCCTGGGAAGAGAAGAACATTTAGTTCATCCGTGCTTCATCACTCAACTCCTGCCCCTTTCCCCTGACCCCCCTGCCATTGGGAAAGAGGGGACATGAGAGTCTCCACAGCTAGTTAGTCAGTCATGGGCTCCCTTGGGAGTAGGCGATGTTTGTGCAGAAGATATCTGCACATTTGGTGGACATAGTCCAGACCCCACCAGCCATGGGCATTTCTCCTCAGAGGGGGTTTTGGAATTTAACTTGCTGCTTTTTTTAAGAGCTTGATTTACAGAGCTTTCAAAGAGAAAGGAATGGTGAATTATTAGTCAACATCTTCTTGACTCCCACTCCAGGCTAGCTAAAGCAGTCTTCACACAAATATAATTCAATTCAAAAAACATCAACACCTCAAATGTGTCTGGCTCTATGCTAAGCATTCTAGGGATACACATAAGAACACCCAGTTACAAACCCGTGTCCCATTGATGCTGAATTGATGCAAAAAGAATAACATCTAATTAGGAAGCATGATAAGGAGCAGCAGGAGCCTGGAAATATGACGAGATTTGTGGGTTCTAGTCCTAGCTCTGCCATTAATTAAATATGTGTCTTTGAGTTCCGATTTTCCCATCACTTGAATTAAGAGAAAAATGCCTCCACTATCTACCTCCAAAAGTTATTGTTACAATCCTTGAGGAAGTTAGGTATGACAATTCTAGAATTCTGATTTTGTATATACACATACATAACTAGAAGGGAACACATCTAAATGTTAAAAGTGTCTTTCCTTGAGTGGTGGGATTACAGGCAGTTTTTATTTTCTTCTTTGTGGATTTTTTACATGTAAAATTTCTGCAGTCAGTAGTATTGTTTTTAAAATCTGAAAAACAAAGCTATTTTTAAAGAAAAAATAGATTGTCTCAAAAGGATTAAATGCTTTAAATAGCTAAGCAAATATGACCTCAGGCTTACTTATCATTCATGTTTCATTTATTCATAAACACTTATTACATTCCTGTGCTCTATACTGTGCTAGACACTAGAGACCTTGTCCCTGTCCTCAAGGAGCTTGTATACAGACAGGGAGACAGATAAGTTAGCAAGGACTATGGCAGAAGTGCATGAGTAAGGTAGAAGAGGGATACAGAAGCCAGATTGGGTGGCGAGCAGGCATGGGGCATCACAGAAAGCTTTCTGGAGGAGACACTGCCTGAGCTGCATCTTGAAGAAGGGCAAGTTAGCCATAGGAAGAAGAGTTCAGGGTCTTGGGAGGATCTTCCAAACAGAGGCAATAGCACGTGCAAAGAGACAGAGGCATTAATTTTGCAATAAATCATGGTGGATAAATTATGAAAATTATTTAGGAAACTTTCCCCATTACTGTCCAGTGGCCACACAGGGTGTGTGAAAATTAAAGAATTTCAAAGCTTCAGACCTGGAGGTGGTAGGGCAGGGAAAGTACAAAACCCAGCCAAACCGGCCT